TCCCCTTCAAAAGTCCTTCTATTTCTCGCTTTCCAAATAACCCGCATGAGTGCTAAGGGGGAAACACTCCATGCCCTTTGACTTCTCTTCTCCCTCCTATGGGCCCAACTATGCAACGCTTCCTTCATTATGCCGGCATCACCCAATGTGTGAAGTTGTTATGGGCACTTGTTAGAGAATGATGAAGATAAAAAGAAAACTCCCTCTGTCTTGATTTTATGTGATTCTGTCTGATTGGATTTAAGAGTTACCAATCAGACAGAATCACATAAAATCAAGACGGAGAAAATTGGGATAAGGAGCAGTAGAAGAAAATATTGAACTACTAATTGAAAAGTTAGTATAATGGAGAAAATCACTGTTGAAGTTCTTGATTAGTCAAACATGTTTGAATTCTTTAAAGTTGGGAAAGTGATATAAAAATATGTTACTAGTCAGATGGTGTTTATCATTTTTGGGATATCACAAAAGAGAAAGTGTCATATAAGCATAATAGTTAGGAACGGACGGAGTACTTTACTCATTGGAATACAAGATTTCAGCTTCTTTGCTGATAATTTCCTGTATCATTTCTTTCCCTGCGTTATCCATTTATCTTATCCACATTCAACCTTTTTTTTTTTAAACTTAAGTTGGAACTAGTATCGTTATGCACTCTTGTGTTTTGTTTTTACTTTCTCAGAAAAAGTGAGGGACTTCATTTTCTTGTATCATTTTACTCTGCTTCAACTTTTAAGATATGATCACTACATTCCCTAAATTATGAATTTGCTATTGCCTGTTGTATTTACATCAGTGCTGTCACTATTCCAGCTAAAAGCCTTTCTTTCTGTTTATTTTTTTTCCTGGGTTTTAGTTCGGTTGGGCAGGGAGGTGAGTGTTCTATTTTGCAAGATATTACTAAACTTGCAATTTGATATGCTACGACTCTTGTGTTATTTTAGTTTTGTTTAATGTTCAGGCTAAGCAAGACATGCCTACTTTTAGGATCAAATCTATATTAATCAGATAATAGCATAGCAATCTCAATAATCTTGTTCCCTAAAAAAATATTTTCATTTAGCCAACTTTCTGAACCTTATCTGTGGTTGAGAAGGTTGCACGCAATTGAAAGAAAAGGAGGTGAAACAATTGAAAGACGCTAAACCTTTCAAGTTTCATCAAGGAAGTCAACTTTCAAGTTTGACCTTAAGAATGAGTAGGACAGGGCAATGAAGCTAGTTGGTTTTACTCAATTGAACTTTTGTTAATTGCGACTTAAACTGCCAAGGAAGGTGGGAATTTGCAGAGATATGTCACCTCGTCCCTGTAACATTATAGACCTACCTTCTTCTAGGACACTTCCTCATCTTCAAATTGCTGGATTTCTGGTTTCTATTTTTTTTGTTTCTTTTATTTCTGTTTTTAAATATATTTTTATGTCTGTTTGTGTTGGTGGCGAAGTAAATCTTTCACTTTTATGCCTTTGTACTTGTTGATGGTCTCCTAGTGATTTTGTTTACCAACAATAAACTTGTAGACTATAAATCGGATAGCTGATCAAAGCTATGTGATCATATAGTCTACAAATGATTACATAGCTGTTCATGCATTTATGCTGGAAGCACGTAGGCTATCCCCTCTTGCAAGTAGAACTAGCCCAGTTTGGTGTAAGTTGGCTTGATTTTCTGCACTGAAATAATAGTGCGTTTGGACTTTGGATGAGTCCAATCAAAGAGTATTATTTTGTTCGTAGGTGAAATGAAAATCAACTACTTTGCCTATGCATAAGATACCTATAGGCCAAACATAAAGATACAAGAAAGGGAGTGTCTATTTCTTGTCTCCATGTCGGAGATCAGTTAAAATAGATGCATCTTGACAAGTTTTCTTCTGGAGTAGTGCTGTAAAACTCTTTTTGTTCCAAGATCATTCTGTTGTATCAGCTGACTTTTCTGCTTTTGCATGTCCGAGGTTCTTGTTGTTCACCTGTTGCTTAGTGGTGTTTGATTGTTTGGCTCTGTACTGCAGGCACTTTTACTCTATCCAACCTTGGGATGTTTGGCGTTGATCGCTTCGACGCCATCTTACCGCCAGGAACTGTAAGCTCTCCGTCGTAGATACAAACTCATCTATTCACTATATTGCTTGCCTGATATCTGAATACTTCTGTATTGTTTTTCACGTTGGTACTTATTCTTTTCTAGGGTGCAATTATGGCTGTAGGAGCATCTCACCCTGCACTTGTTGGTACCAAAGATGGTCGAATTGGCCTGAAAAACCAAATGCAGGTAGAGTGATGATTATTTTTGTTATTGATCTTTGACATGCTAGGTTGTGTTTCTCAAATAAAAACGAAGGAGTGTCCAATATCTAAATTCGTTGATGCCTAAGTTATAAAATGCTAAAATTTTCAGGTAAATGTCACTGCTGATCATCGGGTGATATATGGTGCTGATTTGGCTTCTTTCCTGCAAACCTTAGCACAGATAATTGAGGACCCTAAAGACCTTACTCTTTAGGCTTATTCTCAACGTGCGGAGATTAGAGTTTTTGTAGTGTATTTGTGTTTAAGTTACATCAACAGAAACCAGATGCTGTAACATCTGAAGTATAATTCAGAAGATCAATGGGAATGGATGATTAGGTCATTTATTTGCTGGTGCTTAGTTAATCTTTTTCATTTCTTTTTTTGGCTGAAGTGTAAACTCATAAGGACATTTTTCATTGCTGTCATAATTTATGTCCTGATGATAAGGTCTTCGTTGATTCATCATTTAAATTTTATTTGCAAAGGATGCTGCATTGATTTTATATTCAATAGTTTTCTGCCATTTCAGTTGTATATGCAGTCCAATATATTGCCATTATGAAGTTGCCATGAGCATATTTCCAGCTTTTAGATGTCATTTAATATGAGGATCCACAAAGAAAACAAGGCCTACTTCCATTTACAAGGTGAAATTAAAAAATAGCCAAAAATAGCTACAGTTTTAAAAGTAATAGAAATTTAGCCACTTTTTGTGTAAAGATAAATCTGAACAAAAATACTGTTCAAAATTAGGTAAATATTCCAGCATAATATACTGGAGTGGAAGTTCATACTAAAGTGCTTCAATCTTCCGTATATATGCTGGAACTTTTCGTGTTGCAACGAAATAGTGGCTATTTTTTAATGACTTTGCAAACACTGGTTATTTTCAATTATTAGTCCGAAAACTGGCTAGTCCGTGCTATTTTCACCCATTTACCTCCACCACTTAATTGTTGTTGTTTGTTGTTGGCCAATTGCTAGATCTTGATGTTGAAGGAGGATTTTCTATAGTTTAAATTTGGAGGAAAATTCAATTTTCAACACAAAGTCTGAGGAGAAAAATGATTATTATTCTTTACCCGGATGTTTGACTGAGTACAGAGTTTAAGAAAAAAAAAATGAAGACTTTTGAAACTTGTGATTTAAAACAAATTATAAAAATTATCATAGGAAATATTAAATTTAAATTGTTACTATTAAACATAAAAATATATCATTTTTTAGGGACTTACCTAAGAGAAAAGAGTGTCATTTAAATCAGGATAGAGGGAGAAATATGATCGGATTATAGCATATAAATTGGGACAAAGGGAGAAATATAATCTAATTATATTATTTGTTTTAAAAATCAATTTGTACTCACATTTTAATATCTAGGGACCCTATTTAATTTCTTAAAGCAAAGTAGAAAAAGAGAAGGCTAGTTGTGAATGTGATCAATTCTTTTCTTTAAATCATGGAACAGGAAAAAGAAATTTGATTCGGTGGACTTTAGTGAAAAAACACAAAGGACAAGTCGCATGACTGTTGTGTGGATCCCCACTACAACACCCTTTTTACGCGTGACGTTTAATTCTTATTTTACGCATCAAAGTTCCTTAGGTATTAAGCTTCATCTTAATATTATCCTCAATTAATTATTTTAAGTTCGAATTTTGAAATAAATATTTTTTTAATAAATCTTATGTGAAATAAATTTAAATTAATTGATTCTCCTATACGAATACTAATGCCCTTTATTCGACTTTTGAAGCATTTTTTGAAAGTTAGATACCCGCAAAAAGCAAACCGTGCACACTACGCTCCTTGATGCTAAACAGCTAAAGTACGCCACATGACATTTCTGACGCAAACGGACATTCCCACGACTCTATTATAGTTGAAAGTCATGACAATTTGCAATTTTAGCCCTTCAATTATAACTAAAATCTAATTTAGCTTTTACAAAATTATGACATACTCTCTTCATTTTCAACAAGGATGAAGAGGTTCAAACTAGAAGGATCAAACATTTGCATTTTTAATCCCAATTTGGACATGAATTTCTTATCTTTTAGAAATAAAATGAAATAATAAGAGACTACATTAAAATATTATACACTACAACTTTTGTATATAAAAATATTTATATGATGTATCAAAAACTTATAATAAAAAATAAATTAATTCTATAAATAGTAATAGTATTATATAAAGTGGAATAAAGAAAATAGCATAATCTTTCATTGGCCTTCAAGTATTTGTATTTAAAAAGCGACCATTTAAATGCGTTCTAAATATCTCCTCAATTACGAGCTTATCTGGTTCAATCTTTATTATTTGAGTTGTCTAAGATTTTTATTTTATTATCTTATTCATGTTTTATAACTTTAAATTCATATGTATTGGATTGATCTTCGATTATATTCTATACAATTTGATAACATTGCTTTTTTCCTCTTGAGAAAAAATACAACTTATATACGTTACTTGCTAAATTGTTATAAAATCTTAATATTTGCAAGTTTGCCAATTCGTGTAATTATATTGAACCATTGTTAAAGGTACTTAAATACCTTACATTAGATATAATTTTATGTAACATTCATTCATATAAAAAGAAGTTAAATTTTATGTAACGTATAGGACCATAACCTGAATTAATAAAAAAACATAAGGACTAAAAACATAAAAACCTCGTGAATATATAGTTCAAACTTAACCAACCAAAACTGATAACGTTGTTTCGTTCTCCTTTTTTTCTTCAGCTTGTCCCCTGCCTATCAAACCACCACAAGAATTCTCCTTCTGAATATTTGCCTATTAAAAATGTCTTCAGATAATAATAAACTGAGTCTTGATTCAATAAGGGATAGTTTAATTAGACAAGAAGACACCATCATTTTCAACCTTATAGAGAGAATCAAATACCCATTAAATTCCACCTTGTACAAACAACCTTCTTCTTCTTCTTGGAATATTTCAGGGTCATTGTTCCATTGCTTGTTTCAAGAAACAGAAGCTCTTCAATCTAAGGTAATTATTTCATCCTTTTCTCTTCTATCATACATACATATATGGTTGTTCTGATTTTAGTAGTTGTTTCATGAGTTTTTAAGGGGTCGTTTGGTTGGTGGAATAAGGTATTATAATTCCAGGATAAATTATAGGGTTATTTATCTCATGTTTGGTTCACATTATTATTTTGGGAATATTGTTTATGCTATACTTGGGGTATTATTTTTATATCACAGGGATAACAATCTTGAAATTAGTAATCACAGGAAGATTACTTTTTTTGGAAATAAAAGTTTATATAGTTTAACATATTTTATATTATACCTTCCTATATTTATTTTTTGTCCTAATATAACAAAATCTACTAATAAAAATATATTCACTAAATAATCGTATTATTATTTAATTTTTCTATTATAGTTCCTTTATTATAGTTCCAATCTTGTTACTCGTTGGGGAAAAAGAAAAAAGCAAACGACCCTTTGGGAAAAAGAAAAAAGAAAAAACCAAACGAACCCCTAATAGTCATGTTGTCGTTATCTTGTCCTGTTATGGTAGGTCTCCTTAATCTTCGGAATTTATTGGAATCTTTTATTTACTTTGCTCTATTTTGTTAGTAGTTGCTATATTTATTGAGTTGACTGTAAGTTTTTTTCTACTTTCCCTTCTATATTTGTTCTTTTTTTCTTTATTTTTGGATAACTGAGAAATCTGGGTGGTTATATGGTAAAAAACTCAGTTATCGTTGATTTACCTCTCTCCACACAAATATTACGTAAGTTTTATCGCAATAATTTAAACTCGTCATGTGCGTCTAAACCATGCATTCATTTATCTAGAAGTTAATTTAGCCGTATTTTGATCTTCATGACGGTCAATGGTACTTTATTTGCAATTTTCTAACACGAACTCTTCATTACAAAGTTATCAGTGGGCTGCTATGCAAGTATGTTCAAAGTCTATTTTTAATCAATAACAAGTAATATTTTACCTTATACATAGTATAATTTTTCGGCGAATGATGTTCAGTTGACCACCCTTGGGCCAACATAGCTTCGCCCCTGCTCTTAAGTCTTAACCAACACAAATTAATTTAATAAGTACAAATTATTCATAAAGTTGTTGTCATGTGACCAAGGTGTCACGGGTTCGAGCCGTACATATAACCTCTTGCAGAATGTGGGGTAAGATTGTGTACAATAGACCCTTGTGGTGAGGCCCTTCTCCGAACCCTGCGCATAGCGGGAGCTTAGTGCACCGAGCTGCCCTTTACTAATTAACCATAAATGGATTAGGCTCTTTAATTATTTCTCTTTTAGTCCATGCCAAAATAATATTTATGTCCTTAAAGTAAAGTTTTCCATTTTTTATATTTTAAAACGAATATCACTCTTTTTTTCTCGCTAAACTTTCCTCCTATATTATATTCTGTGAAAGAAGAAAAGGTAATCATGTGACTCCAAATATAATATTCACTAATCTGAAAGGTTAATTTTGAAGATTTTGGATTAGTTTTTGAAGTGAAACTTTAGAGAATATCTTTATTACATGTAAAAGCTTCAGTAATAGAAGCTGAATATTCCAATAAAAGGGGGAAACTGCCCATCTTGGATTGCTTTCGATGTGGAAAAAGTCATTTTTATTTGATTTCTGAAAACTAAAATCTTTTTGTTTAATTTACATCTTGCTTACTTAATTCTATATGAAAGAAAGATTATAGGGTATGCTTGATACGACAGAAGTTATATATTATCGAAAATGTATGTTTTTTTATATATTTGGTTGGTGAATATATTATATTATTCAGGTTGGTAGATACCTATCACCAGAGGAAAATCCTTTCTTCCCAGATAACTTGCCTGCTTCAATCATACCACCTAGCAAAAGTACACATGTAAGTATTTATCAATATATACTAACGTAGTATTTTTAAATTATAAATTGTCCTTTTGACCAGGATTTAAATTAATTATCTAGTATATCATATATATATTGTCACTAATTTCAGTTCTATATATATATATATATATATAGATTTTGCATCCTGCAGCAGAATCTGTGAACGTAAATGAGAAGATATTGGATGTTTATATAAAGCAGTTGCTTCCACTATTTTGTACTGAGGCTGATGAAGAAGGAAACTTTGCTACAACTGCTTCCTGTGATATTCAGTTATTGCAGGTAACTCAACTTTTACATTAATACTACTAATTATTTAATTTGCTCATTGAAAATGAATGGGCTGACATTTTGTTCGCCTAGATCAATAAATACATGACATGTGTCTTTTATGTACGCTTTTTTACCTCAATCTATCAATAGTAAACTAGTGTGATTTAATTTACCGCAATCACGCGAATGGACAAAAAAAAATTGATTCAACTATATTCCTTTCAACAGTTCTAGACCACTAAACAAATTTATATATCCAGCCCTTAAAGGAAATTTTTGAACTTAGTTTTAAACATGAAACCGTTTTGATTTCTTTTTATTTTATTTTAAAGTAAAGATATTATGCACCTTTTTAACCACTAATTGCATGTACATGCAAAATAGGAGTAATAAATTCTGTAGCTACCTATATTTACAAGCATGTAAATTAGATATATATGGAAGCTTGACATAGAATTATTAGAACAGTGGATTAATTAATAAACTACAACACTTCTTTAGGAATACATTAATTTTAAAAAACAAAATAATTCGCTCTTGATTTTTTTTTAATCAGTTCTCTCTTGAACCTACATTTAATTACACACACACGAAATAGTAAGCCAACCTTCATTTGTTTAACACCCAACCACTTGAACATTAACTCAAAAAAAAAAAAATTGAAAAAAAAAAGAAGCAAACATAGAGAACAAAATTCTCTGCATTCTCCATTCTCCAATAAAGCTACGGCCCCTACTTTTATATCTCTACTTTTGTCTTTTGCCAGCAACTTTGAGATTAATAGTACTAAAATGTGACTTAAAACACATGTTAGAAGGTTTAAAAAGCACATGTTAGGAGACACATGAGCAACTCATTATTAAATTACAGAAATGATCCAAAAATATCCCTAAACTTTACGACTAGGGGTAAATATATTCTTCGCTAATAGTTGAGCCTCTTCATACCTTTGCCGTTACTAAACTGGAGCACAAATATCCCTGAACTTTACGATTAGGAGCAAATATACCCTCTGTTAATAGTTGGGCCTCTTTATACCCTATTTAAAATTTTAAAATTACCTACAAATTCGATTGTTAAATCTTTCCTTACCTATGTAGAAATCCTAATTTTTAGTACTTTAAATTAATCAGAAATTTACGTTAAATTTTTTTTTTTGTCTCGTTTGAATTATATAAGATACCTATAATACCATTTATATTAATTTTTTAATATTTAATATCTTAAAAACTATTATATGGATGGATCGTCCGTTTGGGGATCTTATCCCTTAGTGTAAGATCATTCGTCCTTTTTATCCTTTAAAAAACAACTTCGCACTGGGTATCATTATAAGTTAATTATTTTTTTAATATTAAAATTTTAAAATTACCTACAAATTCAAGGGAGAGAAATTAAAGAGAAAAGATAGACCTACCCTATGAGTATGAGATGATGTTGTATAAATCTTATCGTCCATCCACATAATAGTTTTTAAGATATTAAATATTAAAAAATTAATATGAAAGGTATTATAGGTATCTTATATCATTTAAATAAGAAAATTTGTTTTCAAGGTAATGTTTTAATTGATTTTAAAGTACTAAAAATTAGGATTATATTCCTACATAGGCAAGGAAAGATTTAATAATCGAACTTGTAGATAATTTTAAAATTTTAAATAGGGTATAAAGAAGCCCAACTATTAACGGAGGGTATATTTGCTCCTAGTGGTAAAGTTTAGGGGTGCTTGTGCTCCAGTTGAGTAACGGCAAGGGTATAAAGAGGCCCAACTATTAACGGAGGATATATTTGCTCCTAGTCGTAAAGTTTAGGGATATTTTTGGACCATTTCCGTTTAAATTATCATTTCTTAGGAAATCCTAATCTACTTTAATTAAATAACACGAGCTGACACTTCCACTGTAACTCTTAGACTGCCTTTAATTTGCATAAGCTTCAGCTTCCTTCGTCACTTTTTTTCTTCTTTATTTTATTATATGGCTTTCTTTATATATTTTAATTTGTAACCAAAAAAAAAAAAGCAAATATCAACTTTAGTTGAACTATTGTGTTAACAAGCTGGGAAAAGTTTTTAGACTTAACTGCTATTCTTATGGCTAGATTTTAGAACGTTCCAATTTCTAACCCGAAATTATAATATATATATATATATATTGTTTATTTCTAGCTATTTAATTAAGAAAAATCTACTTCTTAAATCTGGAATATTTTTGACCTAGAGAAAGAAATATCGACAGTATTTTGAACCTTTTAAAAAAAATTACGTCTTACGTCACTTTTTCTTCTCGTAAACTTCATTCCTGCGTATCCAATTTAATAGTTGATTCATTTAAGATGTAATCTCAAAAATATTAATATGGACTTTAGATTATTTTTCCCAGTGCTGTTTTTCTTTAGATATAATTTCTCCCTAATAATCCAGCTTTGTTATGACTTGAATTACAATGGTTATAAGCTTTAGTGAAAATATCTTGTTTTTTCTTGAAGGCACTCTCTAGAAGAATTCATTATGGAAAATTTGTTGCTGAGGTTAAATTCAGGGATTGTACTGATCAATATAAACCACTTATTCTTGCTAAGGTATGTCTCACATACAACTATTTACGGTTTCCATGTCTTCTTTTATTCCACCTTGGATTGTTGTTAATTTTGTTTGTCGATATTTTTTTCATAAATAATTGCGAAAATGTCTCATTTAAGTTTTTCTGAAAAAGCTTTTGTAAAATGTATTCTTTTAGAAAGACTGTTTCTTGCAGAAGTTGTTCTCTATAGTGTTTCTCAAAAATAAGAAAAAAAAAAAAGAGACACAAGCGAAGATTATCCATATTTCCAAAACACTTTTTTTTTCTGCACACACATTACAGATTTCTCCAAAGAGTTGCAATTAATAATTGATACAATATTATGCATATACACTAAGGAAATATATTTTAGCCAAAAATGAAAATTTTCGTGGCTTAACACTTTAGCCACTTTGATTTTTTTTTTTTCTCGTGATAAGGGATAGCAAGATAGCTAAAAGTTTGCTACAGACTTTACAAGTTTTGGCTACGGACTAATACCAATTGATATATATGGAAGTTTTGTGTAGCTAAACCAAGAAATTTTACACAATTGTAAACAGTGGCGAAGCCAGAAATGTTTTTAAGGATGTTCAAACTTGAAAGAAGTAGAAAAAAAATTCCGACAAAAGGTGTTTAATATAGGTTTTATACATCTAAAATCAATATTTTACTTATATACACAGTGTAATATTTCGGTGATGACCACCCTTTGCTAAAGGTGCTTCGCCCATGATTGTAAATAGCCATGGAATTTTAATGCTTGCGGCTATAGCTAGGTACTAGGTACAATCCTCGAATCTATAGCTATATAATGCATAGTGTTATAGTACTATGAATTATATAGAAAATATATTCAAAACGATGGTAAACGCATTTAAAATTCTAGCCATAGTTAAACTTGTTCATGATGAACTTTCGAATTAGTTAGTCGAGGTACTATTGATCAAATTCTTGAACTATATATATATATGAACAATAGCATATTTGTTATAAGAAATAAAATATAGTATTTGTTATTGCAGGATAGTGATGCTCTAATGAAGCTATTGACATTTGAAGCAGTAGAAGAAATGGTAAAGAAGAGAGTAGCAAAAAAAGCCATGACATTTGGGCAACAAGTGACCCTAAATATTGACGATAGCACCAAAGAAGTAAAGTACAAGGTTGATCCATCACTAGTTTCGCGCTTATATGATGAATGGATAATGCCTTTGACAAAACTTGTTGAAGTTGAGTACCTTCTACGCCGTCTTGATTAGTACAATGCAACTATCATTATTGTTATTAATTACTATTGTTGTTTTCCATTTTTAGTAGTATTATTATTAAAATAAGTTAAAGGGCTTTTACGATATTTGCCTTTGGACCATCTATATATTCCATTGATTGAAACTGTGAAAATTCTCTGAATTGAGGATGCCGTTTAGTGTTTCAACAAACTAATGTTACTTACTTGCAAGACATTTGTGCATAAAAATATTCTAATTCAGCTGTTCAAACTACAGTAACAGATATCTTTTCTTCTTTTCGATTTTAAAGCCGTACGTTTATACATTGTCAGAGTTCATATTTACATTGCACGCTAATCTCCAAAATCCTTTCAATTCGTTTATTTATATTTTACGCATTTCAAACTTAAAGATTGCTACGTTAAAAACAAAAAGAAGAAAAGAACTGCAAACTGCATTTTGCCTTAAATATTGTCGTCTTTAGTTATTTTCGAATGGACGAAAGGCAATTGATCCTGTTATCTTAATCCGTACTTAGGGATTGCAATGGTGCGGGGCGGGTATAGATGTATGCGGGTGCGGTGCGGGTTTGAGTTTTGTGGGTGCGGGGCGGGTTAGAAGCATTGTTATTTAAAATTAAGCGGTTGCGGGGCGGTTGCGGGTTGAAGTCATGAATTGACTACATACTGCTTCGGAACATAGCAAACTTGTCCTAAACCCATTTATTTTGTTGTTTTGTCCTACATTATAAAGAACTCAATCGATTTAGTTTTATTGAAACTTTTTAATCCAATCTTTTAAGTATTATTTCAGTTTCTAAATATCCCATTTCTTTTTCTTGTTATACCCAAATCAAGCAATGAAAAGTAAACAATTTCCTCTGTCTTGGTATATATTCTTCCTTCCTCTTCCTTTTTAGACTTCTAGTTTTCAAATAAAATAAAAGAAACTTAAACATGGAGTTTGCTGGAGTTTCTGGTTTCACAAAAAAATTTTCATGTACATATGGAAGTGCATGCTTTTTTCTGGTATTAATACTAGAAATTTTTGTTAAAGGAATTAAAATTTGTTCTGTCCTTTCAATTCAATTATCAAATGTTTGAATTCTTCGTTGGTTTATTAGTACTTAGATCATCTTATCATCTCTTTTATAGTTTAATGCGTAAGAGTTCAAAAAAATTGCGGGTGAACGCGAGTGGAGTGCGGGGCGGGTGAATGCGGGTTTAAATCCTATGCGGGACGGGGCGGGGCGGGTTTAAATTTCACGGGTTCAGACAGAACCCGCCCCGCACCCGCCCCGCCCCGCAACGCCTGTCATTCCTATCCGTACTGAGAAGTTCAACGTTGGTCCCTAAATATTTCACGCTTATAGACCTTAACTATATCTGAGTAAATGTAGAGGGTAAAATCGGTTTATATTAAATGCTCGAATGATAGCGTGACAGGTGGAACCGGAGGCAAACGGAAGATAAAGCGAGTGAAAATCAAGTCCGAGGACAATAGCTTCCATTGGCACCGGGAAGATCCCGGAGGGAACACAGTCAACAGAAGCAAACGAATGTTTGTCACCAGATGACATTTAATGAAAAATGTTCCTCAATATTAAGTACACAACTGTTGTAGAGAGTTTTGGCATTCATGGTCTGCCGTTACATATTCATCAATGACCCTCATTATTGTCATTTAAGAGGGGCTTGATCCTAGGACCTTGTTCCCTAGGTATATCTATAAATAGCGACTTCAACAACCATTGTAAGACACGAAATCTCTGACAAACCTATGATATACACTATTCTCAAGCTAAATAATACTTTATTTTTTGCCTAACATTCTTCTTATTGCTGCCTTCGGAAGCCTTGCTCTCAGAACCAGGCTATCTGTCATTTATCTCGAGTTCAACGCTAAGTCTTGCATTTTATATAATTCATTTATCATTTTTGGAACGAATCAGTTCGCTTGTCTATAAACCACATAACAAATTCAACTGTACCGTTTTATGGGCAAACAGTTTGGCGCCCATCGTGGGGCTTAGACAGTTGTGTAAGTGAGTTGATCCTTGCATCTATATTACTAATTTATTTGATTCTTTATTTTATAGAAAAAATCGTATAAAATTGCAGCTAACAGTGTCAACATCACACATAACGTTGAGGCGCAAGAAAATCTGCCTTAACACGAGAATTCGGTCAGTGACACCCGTAACGAGGAGGACGTAGGAACTCCGGTCCATGGCGGGCGATATCCCCGACATGTACGGGAGACAACTTCTAATATTGGACGAGCACGTTTCGAGAATAGTAAGGATCTTGAGGGAGCAGCAAAAGGCCATCCTGGGGCATCTCTCAAGACAAGACCAGGCCATGACGGAACTGAAGCAAGCATTGTCAGGTGCCTCCAACAATACGAATGGAATAGGCCATGTTCCTCCCGGTGCTCTCACAAATCAAACAGCGCAAAGAGTTGATAACAACACCCCGAGGGGTGAGGTCGGCTACGACAAAGCTGAGGTGATCGGCAGCGGGTCCGGTAATGACAATGGCAATGATCCCTTCAAATCTGAACTCATGAGATTTATGAGAGAAATGAACGATCGTGAATTCGTGATCGCGAAGGTAATCTCGCGATCGTGAAGGGGAAACTGGGACAGAGGCGGAACTTCTTCATCTCGAACGTGATGGCTTGGTCGGGAACGCGAAGAACTGAGGAGTTTACTCTTCGCGAACACGACCAGCCTTTCGCGAACACGTAGGGTTATTGTGCTTGGGAAGAGACTTGGTTGTTACTCTTCGTGAACGCGAAGGGTGGATTGCAAATGCGAAGGCCTTTGGACGCTGCTGTTTCGCGATCGCGTCAGGCCCTTCGCGAACGCGAAGAAGGCGTGATGCCCAATGACTAAAATATCCCAAAGTCGGGATTTAACTTATTTTTAACCAGTACCAAGTTTGAGCTCTGCCTAGACGTAATTTTGAAGAGGTTTTTCATCCCAACTTCATAGGTTAGTAGATTTTAACTTGTTTCCTTCCTTTTTTTCATAAACACACATTGATTTTAACATTTAATCTATGCTTTTTCACGGTAGAAGTTAGGGATTTTGGGAAATTAAGATTTAGACCTTAAATTGTGGTAGGATTTCTAAATAAATCACATAACCGGCCTGAGGTGAATGGATAATTGAGTTTTGGTCCGAATCTTGGTTTTGACCAAGCGAGCCCGGGGTTGACTTTTGTTGACTTTTAAAAAATGATCTAAATTGAACCTCTTTCATTTGTGGGCAGTTTCTAAAGCTTCATTTGAATCATTTGGTCCATAATTTGCTAGATTTGGTTGGTTTGGAGGCTTGTTCAAAAGGCAAGACCGTGGTTGATTGATTGTTTGAGTTGCGGAGTGTGGTAAGTGTTGGGCCTAACCTTGATTCGAGGGAACTAGGAACCCTTGAACTACATGTTATGTGAATTACATGGGAAACAGTGTATATGCTAGGTGATGAGTGTATATGCGGCGGTATGTACTTGCTTCCATGTTTTTTGTTACTTCACAATATATCTTGTTTTATCCCTTAGTTGCTACATGCTTATTTGACTTCATATTTGTCATTTAGTTATCTTTGTATTAAATTATCCATCTCTTTCATGATTCCATGCTTATTTTCTATTTGTCTCTACTTGCTTTACTTGCATATTTAAATTGTCATATGTCTTACTTGTCTTATAGTTCCATAAAATTTGTTGTCTTCTATAATGTACTTTCACTTGTATGAGTTGTTAATTGGTAGATATTGATGAGTTCGTAAAGTTGAGACAATCGAGTTATTAGAGATTCTTTGATTATTACGCGATTCTTCATTGCCTCGTACATTTACTCTTTTGACGTAGAAATTCTTGTAAATTTAGTTGTTGAATTGCTATTGTTGATTGAAATTGTTTGGGAAGCGGGTTGCACGCCGCAACGGAAATTGAAAAGTAATAAATTGAAATGGCAGAATAAGGACAGATTATGATATTGACATATGATGATATGGTGGGATCAGGTTGCGCGTCGCAATAGATTGTATAGTTGTATTTGTTTGTGACTGTTGGATTTGCCTCGGCGTTCGAGATGAGTTTATAAGACTTGTTATTCTGGGCCCTCTGGTAGTTGGATTTTGAGTTGTTATGAGTTAACTGTTTTTTTTTTGTCTATTCATGTCTTTTATGTTATTATTATTATTATTGCGTACATGTTATTGTAAATGACCCGCCTTAGCCTCGTCACTACTCCGTCGAGGTTAAGCTAGCCACTTACATAGTACATGAGGTCGGTTGTACTCATACTACACTACACTTCTTGTGCAGACACCGGAGTTGGTCCCAGCTGCGCTGAGTGAGGTTTGCTCGGATCTTGTTATCAATGGAGACTTGAGGTATAGCTACACGACGTCTACAGCTCTAAAGTCCCCTTCTACATCATTTTAGTTGTTTATTTTTATTCAGACAATTATGTTTATTCAGACCATTATCTGTAGTACTCTAGATGCTCATGTATTCGTGACACCAGATCTGAGATTGTATTTGGATTTCGTCGTTTATTAGTTTATCACTTTAATTCAGACTATTCAGTTTTATTGTTGTCACTTAATTTGGAATTGTTAAAAATGGTTAATAGATATAGCTAATGTTATCTTGCCTAGCAAGTAAAATGTTAGGCAACATCACAGTCCTGAGGGTAGAAATTCCGGGTCGTGACAGTTTCAAAATCACGGGGTCAAGTCCCCCGCTCAAAGAAAACAGACCCAAAGTGAAGAGATACGAATAAACATACATAAAACCCTTCTTATTGAAGGTCATTCGCTCCACCAAATCAGGAGCAATGATGTTTAAGACATGGCAATCACAGTCCTCCTTCACAGTAGGAGTACCGGAAGGGCGAATTGAAGAAGGGTATTTGGCAACAGCCCAAGTGCGAGGATTTGAAGTAGGGAACTTCTCTTCAAAGTCATTGGCTGTGTTGAGATGTTTTGGGGATGATGTTGCTCACCGTAGGAGGATCAACATTAACATTGGCTTCTTTGTCTTTGCTCTTATTCGGTGCGCCACCGAATAGAAAACCGGAGTTCTTGGAAGAATTGGTGTAAGAAGCCGTAATCAACATAAGGTGAAAAGAGTTTTTTTTTGAAGAAAATCAAAGAAAGATGGAAGCTGAAAGGGGTTTAATGCAAGGAAGTTGAGAAGAGTTTATGAAATTGGTAGAAGTGAAAGAAGAAGAATGAGCCGTATAAGTAAAGGTATAGGCGGCTAAAATCGTAGCCATGATTACCTCGAGAAGCTAAATCGTGGAGTAACACGTGTTCGGAGTATTAAATGCGAGGAGACGTGCATCTTATCAAGCGTCAGATACTTTTCAGAAGGGTTTAGAAAATTTCCCGCCAAGAAAGAAATCTTCACCAACTTGCTGGCAACACAAAGATGTGCCATCCGAAAGCAGGGGACTATCTGTATAGGGTAAAGTCGATTTATCGTTAATGCTCGAATGATAGCGTGACACGTGGAACCGGATGCAGATGAAAGATAAAGTGAGTGGAAGCCAAGTCCGAGGACAATAGCTTCAGTTGGCATCAGGAAGACACCGAAGGAAACACAGTTAACGGAAGCAAATGAATGTTTGCCACGAGATGACATTTAATGAAGAATATTCCTCAGTATTAAATACACAGCCGTTGTAGAGAATTTTTGCATTCATGGCCTGGCGTTACATATTCATCAATGACTCCCATTATTGTCATTTAAGAGGGGCTTAATCCTAGGACTTTGTACCCTAGGTATAGCTATAAATAGTGACTTCAACAACCATTGCAAGACATGAAATCTCTGACAAACTTATGCTATACAGTGTTCTCAAGCTAAATAATACTTTATTTTCTGTCTAACATTGTTCTTATTGCTGCCTTCGGAAGTCTTGGTCCCGGAACCAGGCTATCTGTCATTTATCTCGGTTTCAACGCTAAATGTTGTATTTTATTTAATTCATTTATTATTTTTGGATCGAATCAGTTCGCTTGTCTATAAACCACGTAACAAATTCAACTGTACCATTTTACGGGTAAACAGTAAACACATTTAACATTCAATTAAATGAAATATCACTTTTAATCATCTACTTGTGAATCCTCACAAACTTGCTAATTATGTACCATTACATAATTAAGTGTCCATGTATTATGTTAAGTGTGTACTTATTATGTATTTGAAAGTGATATAGTTCTAAATCTAGTCTAAATATAACAACATTTCTATATCAAGGAAAAAGTATATCTACTTTAACTAATTTTATATAAGGGTGTTAGACGGGCCGGGTCATCCCGGTTCCGGACCGGCCCAGACCGGTAGAACCCGGAACCGGCCCGGACCGGTAAGGGGGGCTGGGCTGGGCTGGGCTGGGTTGGGGGGTTGGGGTGGGTTTGAACGGTTTAAATTTTTGAAACGGGTTACCCGGCCTGGTAAAACCCGTTAGATGAACAGTGCCGTTAAACCGATTAATCGGCCCAGCCCGGACCGGCCCGGAACGTGAATATAACATGAATATACCGTGAATATACTATAAATATACCATGAATATACTATAAATATACCAATTATTGTATACTAATTAACATAATTTAAAATTGTTGGAATATAACATATAGTGTATATATTTAGGGTATAAAACTATAAATACTCAAATCATAGAATATGATGGTAACGTATTATTTTTAAAATATGCTATATATGTGTTATTTTAAGATTTTAAGACAATTTGTGTTATTTTAAATTATTNACTATCATGCGCTCAATGTGTAATCAGCATGCCTAGATCACACTGCCTAATTACTGTCTCACTTAGCATATTGGAGTTTGTTCTGACTAATATATTTATCCGTAAGAATCTGTTTACTGTTTAGTATGCCCAATCCTGCCTTGTGATAATTGCATGCATACTGTTTGCTCATTAGCATGTCCAAGCTACATTGTTTGTTTACTGATTCACCCAACATGTCTTAATTCTGCTTGTTCTATCTGTGATTAGTATTTCCAAACTATGAATGTTTTCATGAAGTGCTTGCCTATTTTGTTCATCTAAATCTTGCTTACTCTACTTCACTAATGAGATCCTGCTAAGTCATCTAGCCCTACATTTACTCTTTTGACGTAGAAATTCTTGTAAATTTAGTTGTTGAATTGCTATTGTTGATTGAAATTGTTTGGGAAGCGGGTTGCACGCCGCAACGGAAATTGAAAAGTAATAAATTGAAATGGCAGAATAAGGACAGATTATGATATTGACATATGATGATATGGTGGGATCAGGTTGCGCGTCGCAATAGATTGTATAGTTGTATTTGTTTGTGACTGTTGGATTTGCCTCGGCGTTNTAAGATTTTAAGACAATTTGTGTTATTTTAAATTATTAGACGTATTTATGCTTAATGATTTAGTTTGTTAGATTAATTTGAAGTATTATTAATTTATTATGCATGAAAATTTAGTTTGCTATTTATTTGTTAATTTACTTTTTAAATGCAAACTTTAATTTTGTAATTTTGAAATAAATATAGCACTTGCAATTTATAAGTGCAATTTTTTCCCATCTTCCTCGTATTCTTTATGTTAGTATTTTGTATTAATACTATAACTTACAATATTTATACAAAATCCAAAAAAAAAAAATTAAAATTATACTAAACCCGGCCCGCCCCGCCCCTCAACCCGTAACCCTTATGGTTCAATTTTTACCCGGATGAACCCGAACCCGAACCCGTTAAACCCATTAATACCCAACCCATAACCGGCCCGGACCGTAATCCGTACGGGTCCAAAAAATATAGGTCCGACCCGGCCACCCGTTAAACACCTTTAATTTTATATCATAAGGGCCAAATTTAAAATTTACCAATGACTGATACTGTATTTTGTCTTAATTGTCATCTTTACTGATCATATTTGCATGGACCAAGAGCAATTGATATCCTAGTCAGTCCAAAGAAGCTATTAGATGTTTTGGTCCCTAAACTATGGAGTGTTAAGCTTATAGACCTCAACTATAACTTCTAACATTTTTAATCCCTAAGTCTAGATGAGATAACTAGAATTCCATTTAAGCTTTCGTCTACAAAAACAATTCTAGCAAATATGGAGATTCAAAAAGCTACCTTTATCATCAATCCTCGCCATTTTCACCCAATTCCAAACTCTACCCACCACCCAATTCTTGTTTCCCCACAACACAGACCTTTACAGCATAGAAAATTGCTAAAACTACGCCCCCAGTCCTGTTGTTGTTGTTGTTCTTCTTCTCATAGTCATCATCCAGTTGTAAAAGGCCCAATTTTGGAAGCAGGGAATGAATCTTTTGGGAAAAACCATTACAAGAATATTACAAGAAAAAAGAGGGTATTTTTCTTGGATGTTAATCCTCTTTGTTACAAAGGAAGTACTCCGTCTTTGCTTTCTTTTGCTCATTGGATTTCCCTTTTCTTCTCTCAAGTTAGCCTCACTGATCCTGTCATTGCTGTAAGCTCTCTCCCTCTCTCTCTCTCTCTATATATATCTACCTATTTACTTAGCTATTTCAATTTATTTGAACCTATTTCCTTTATAGTATGTTACTTTTTTTTTTAAATTTGAAAACATTTAACTTAAATTTATCATTTCGACCTTAAATGACAAGCCTTTATAGCCAGGCAATTGTTATGCGATGTTTAATAACACGAGTTTCAAAATTATTTGCCACAAGCTACCTGAGCAGATTTCCCACCCTCCAGTTCTTGATATCTCCAGCCTCTACTGTCCTCAACCACAACAAATCCTAGACAGGAGATTGGTGCAAAAAGGGAACAAGGCCATCACTCAAGTTCTGGTTCAATGGGAACAAACTACACCTGAACCAGCCACTTGGGAGGACTATCATTCCCTGCTGACTAGGTTCCCTTCTTTCCTTCCTTGAGGACAAGGAAGATTTTGACACCGGGGATCTGATACGATATAGCTTGCGTCTGTGGTACATCGTGCTAATGGAGTAGTACGCGGTAGTTAAATTAGTTAACTGTAAAGGTTAAGGCTAAGTTTTAGAAATGTTAGTTTGGCCCTTTTTTCATCCATCTCTGCAGGAGTTAGCCTTCTTCTCCTGTTGTTATCAAAAACAGCAGCTACTGGTTTCTTATAAGAAGGCTGATTCCCCTTAAATATACTGTGGTTACCTTGGTTAGTAAATGGTTTGGGTAAACTTGAAGTAGAAATAGTGCCTTTGATTGCCTTGCACTGAGCAGCAAAACTAGCTTCTTGCAATCTAGCTAGGTAGTAGGCTTGTGGGGTTGCCTACCTTGACTGCATTACTGAGCTCAGGCTTCAAGTTGTTCAGGAAGATGCTAATGGCATGTTCTGTACAGAGATTGATCCTTGTCATCACACTCACAAAGGCCTTCTGATAATCTTTTACAGAACCAGTGTGCTTGATATTCATCAGCTCTGTCATAGGATCTGAGTATTGTGCTCCAAAACTATCACAAAGAGCCCATAAGTATTCATCCCAAGTAGGCAAGGGCATCTGGCCTCTACTCCTCATATATCCCAAATGCCATTGCAAAGCATCTTCTTCAAAGTGTAAGGATACCAACTTCATTCTCTGCTGAATAGTCACCTCCTCATCTGCAAAAATTTGCTCCACTTTGTGCAACCATGTCCTTAAATCTTCTCCATCAAACTTAGGAAAGTCCACCTTAGTGTACTTTGTGTAGGGTATGTTGGGTAAGGGTGTGGCAGGGTTGTTCTGAGTTTGTGACTGGTTGGGAGTTATATTGTTGTATTGTTACTGGGGTAGATTTGGCACATAGGGTGTCTGATGATATAGAGGGGAAGGAATATGACCAGGGTGAGTGTAGTATGAAGGGGGAAACTGTATGGGTTGAGTGTAGGTAGGCTGAGGGGGTATCAGTCCTGTGTGAGAGCCTTGAGTCCAAGCCATTAGGGGTTGGTAACCTCTGCCATTGGGTGGTGGGGTTGGAAAATTTAGGGGTTGCAAAGGAGCAGGTCTGGGATGAGGAGAAGGCATATTTGGAAACACATAAGGTGGAGGAGGAGGTAAAGGGGGGTTACTTATCATGACTGAACGAGTAGGTGGTTGAGGTTGAGCTCTAGGCAGCTGAATGGGAGCAGAGCTCACCTCACTTGTTATAGGGTTACTAACAGTTGGTCTAGGACTTAGATTAGGAGCTTGGACAGAAGAGGTGAAGGTACTCACAGTTGCAGTGTTCATATTGCTGATGTTTGGTGTGGCTAGATCTCCAAAATCGAATGGTTGATCACTAGGGGAATATAGCTCACCATCTGCAGGTTGTGCCTTCTTGTCCCTCTCCGGTCGTTTACCCCCAAGAATCACCTCATTGATTACTTCCCTTAGCTCATTCAAAGACTCCTCCTGATGTTTGTTGCTATGTTCTTGTGCAGCTTCCAGTTGCTCTTGTCGAGCTGAGAAACTGGACATCTCAGCAGATATTTTATGTAATGTGCTCATGATTTCATTCAACTCGCCCGGCATAGCCACAGAGCCAAGAAAGAGCTCTGATACCACTGATAAGAAAAGAGCTCAATGTAACAGTAAAAAGAGGAAAAAGCTGCGGCAACAATGAAAGGAAAAGCAGAAAACTAAAGAGAAAAAGAAACTAGGGCAAAACTAAGGAATATTCTCATTCATATGCAATACTAGGAGGTGTAATTACAATATATAGGTGAGTGAGAAGAGATGCTCTCATCTGACACTCAAGTCCCTTCCTCAATTAGCTATGTGGACCTTTTGTATAAAAGACAAGAAAAATTACAGGACCAAAGTGTAATCCTAGAACTTCTAATTTAAAACTTAGACGGCCAAACTAACATTTCTAAAACTTCGCCTTAACCTTTACAGTTAACTAATTTAACTACCGCGTACTACTCCATTAGCACGATGTACCACAGACGCAAGCTATATCGTATCATTATTATAATCACACAAATGCTATGGCATTAAGACCACAAGTTTCAATAGTTTTCATTTATTCCTTAAATTCCGTGCCCGAGTTGACATAGATTGAATCCGAGAATCTATACACAGTCACAGATAAGTACATGTGTGTGAGAGATGTTTGCTATAAGTACAACATGGAGGGATAGGCCAAAGATTGCACTAACTCTTTAACTCCAAGTGTGTGTTAGGTGGGTAAAACTTTTAATTCTTCATGTCAATGAATAGCTAATAATTTGAAATGAAAAAAAAATAAAAAACTGTCTTGGAATTCAGGAATTTTAAAAATATAATAAGGATAGAGAAATCCTAGCAATTGGGTTAGGAACATAGAAAGAGAAGAGTTGACATAAAGAAATAAAAGTGGAATACATGCATGTTGATTCATTTTATTGTACAAAAAAGTGTATCTTGGAAGGTGTAGATGGTATGTAAAAGCATCATGAACTACACATTGTTTGAAATGGGTGACTGTGTAACAGGTTGTTGACGGGGAAAGAGGTAATGAGTATAGAAGGCAGTTGTTACCTTCCTATAAAGCAAAAAGAAGGAAACATTGGCATCAGTTTCCAGGCGCAGGAAAATCTCCAAGGCGTATCGTTGAAACGTCACATCGACTTGTCTTGGATGTTCTTCGCAACTGCAATGTTCCTGTGAGTGAACATTTTCTTGATCAACACGCGTAGTTTTTGTTTTATTGATGCATCCTTGGAATATGGTTTCTTTAGTAGTCTGAAGCTGACAGTTATCTTTTACTAACAATTTGAGAAAAAAAATTTCTTTTGTGCATAGACAAAGTAAACTGATATTAACTAGTATAATGTTTATTTCTAACTGGAGATACTAAGAAGCATGAACTATGATATAGATTTTATTTTTTCTCTCTGTCAGTAAAATTTTGTTTCCCGAGATGTGAGTTGGTTATGATGAAATGTAGCAAGCTACAACTCTGGAGATTCATGTCTAGTAAAGTTAAATGGAGAAAGAAAGAATCTTGGACCACTTAAATAAACCGATAAATGCTAATGGAATAATCAATACGAGCAAGTTTTCCCTCAAGAGAACACTTTCTGCGGCCATCTAATGTCAGGCTCATTCCTAAAAACAAAGAAAAATAACAAATGAGAAGGCAAGTGTACAGATCCACTACTTCCCTTGCGATATTTTTAAATCCTAGTTTTTTCCTGGTACCTTGTGTGTCGCCTATCTCGGGTTTGACAATGATTGCTGTAATTATAATTGTAAACTTGTAGTTATTTTTTTGGGCTGCAGAGTCTTGTTCAGAAGCTTTTTGGTGCTCTGCAGTCTTGTTTGGAAGCTTTCTTCTCTGGGTTGCTCATATATTTTTCCGTTTCTGTACCAGTTTTTAGCAAATAGAGTATGTACTCAACTTCAATTTGCCAAATGGTAGTCCATCCATTTCCTGTAGATAGATATATTTTTATTTGTTTCGTCTATAATTTCAACTTGGAGCCCTTCGGGACTTAGTTATCTAGCATTATTACTAGTTGCATTTGACATGTCAGTTCTAACTGTCATGTTTTGTTTCTATGAATTCTTCCACATTGCAATTTGTAATGCACTTGGCAAAAAGGCATTGCAATCAGTGTAACGAACTTTTCTTTTGCCATGGTTTTGCATAATGAGAAGGCAGATAAGAGTTGATTACTAGCTTTACTTCATCAAAAAACAAAAAAAAGAATTGATTACTAGCTTTTGACTAGGTGTAGTATGCAGGTAGTTAAGATTGAATCACATGAAGCAGATGATGTTATAGCCACACTTGTTGAACAAGTTCTACAAAGGGGACACCGAGTCGTCGTTGCCTCTCCTGACAAAGACTTCAAACAGCTGATATCTGATGATGTTCAAATTGTCATGCCAGTACCAGAGTTTAATAGATGGTCTTTTTACACCCTAAAACACTATGTGGCACAGTACAATTGTGATCCAAGGTCTGATTTGAGCCTGAGTAAGTATGTGACACTCCTTTTAGGTGTTGTTTCATACCTTCATATTAATCTTAAGTGACTTGCTTTTTTTAAAGGGGATAGGGGAAGGGGAAATGGGGGAGGGGATTACAAGGTGGGGAATGGAACCCTCACCAACAAGGTGAAAATTCAGGTAGCCAACCAACTAAACTACTAATGTTTGAGTTACTAGTGACTTGTATACGAGTTATTAGTTCATGTACTTGTTGAAGCTAATAATATCTTATTTATACCTGCAAATTAAAAGTCATTATTCTACTTTCTTGTTGGGCAGGATTTTGGTGAGATTTAGAGAACCTCTAGTTTAAGAGAACCCCTATTTTATTTTAGAAGGCAAATTATTGAGTAGTGAAATGGAAATGGTCCTGAATGGAGCAGACCAGATATAGAGGATTCATATATCCAACCCTGCTAGCCCGTGATTGAGGTTTAGCTAATTGGGAGAAGTGAAAGTTAGGGAGTGTGTCTTTCCAGGTAGAGGGGTAAAATGGATGGTCAGTGTGGGAATTTTATCTTGGGTAAGACATCTTGTTCTACAAATTTGTACGACATCTACTAAATTTTTTTTCTTCCATTGAATACGTTGGACACAGCCGTAACTCTTTATTCTGCTCTTTTATCTTACTTTCAAAAAAAAATATTCTTTATAATTTTATTGATGACTAAGAATAATGTGGGTGGCTTCTGTTTGGCTCCAAGGTTGTATTCACGATTTGATTTGCTAGAAACTAGACGGATATATAGCCCTCTTTCTTTTCAAAAAAAAAAAAAAAAGACATGGCCCTCTTTTAATGCTTACTATTCTGACAAGTCTTACTCCAAGATGGTCCTCAAAAGTTAGTTTATTTTGTATGTTGCTCTTGCTTGCTTCGTATGTCATTGAAATAAGCAACTCATGTATTTGTTTGTAAGTTGAGCATAGTATGGTTTGTGAATTGTGCTTCTTTCACTAGGAAAGGATGTTCTGTATGACAACTAATGGTGCAATTGGCTCTTTTATTTTATTTATAAGTATGGCATTTTAAGCTATGTTGTTCAGGTACTTATTCAATATAAGAACAAGAAAGTGACAGATAAAATGTGATAAAATTTTATGACTTTCCATGGTTATTTCGGCATAAAATTTCAGGATTCGTTAGATAATACACTTGCAATTATGGACTACCACATCCCAAGCAAGCATTTCATTTTGTCTGTTTCTTGTTTGGCATGGGGAGCTATGTTTTCCAATTATTATGCTAATTAGCTTACTTAAATCAGGATAACTTAATGGTGAGACAATCTTTTCATTCCAACGGTTATGTTAAAGTTTCTTTTGTTGATAGTGCATGTCCTTCAAATTTGTTCCTCCGTTTTAGACTCAATCTCCACCTCTCTCAGTATCTTATTATAAGATCTGTGTTTACCGTTCTGTATGCTTTGCCATAAGTTCCTTTTGCACTGGTATTGAGGAAACATTGTTTGTGGCCCTTGTCATCTGACAATAAGGCAGTGGTTAGACTGTTGAGATAATATTGAGAGTTGAAACAGAAGGTTCATTCCACGGTTTAACTTCTTGCAAACATGGTAATATATGCCAATCTTGCCGGTCCTAGGACACAAGTAGACCAGGAACATCACGGAAACTACTTTAGTGTTGTGAAGAAAGGGGGCATCAAGATGCAGGTATTCTCTTGGTAAAAGAAGAGGCGGAAGCTTTTTTTTTCTCCATTTAGCTTCATGTGTTTCATGCTATCATTTTTCTCTTAGAAGGCTTCAGCATTTTTCCCTGTTCAATTCGTTCTTGAGTGTCTGCTGTTATTATGTTGGCTACTAAATCTTGTGGTTTTCTGGAAAAGGGTGTATACTGGGTGACGAGGTTGATGGTGTTCCTGGAATCCAGCATGTTGTTCCTGGTTTTGGTCGAAAGACTGCTTTGAAGCTTTTGAAAAAGCACGGCACACTGGAGAATTTGCTTAATGCTGCTGCAGTAAGATCGGTGGGGAAGCAGTATGCACAGGATGCCCTTATAAAGTATGCTGATTATCTGCGCAGAAATTATGAAGTTCTTTCTCTGAAGAGGTAATATCTTCATTTTCCTTTCTTTTCCATCGGTAACAGCAAAAGTGTTATTCAGTATCCAGGCCCTTTTACCGCTTTCTAATTCTATCCATTTTTTATAATGGAATGCACTAAAAGGGATGTCCGCATCCATATTGAGGAGCAATGGCTTGATGAGAGAGATGCACGTAATGACTCACTAGTTTTATCCAACTTCATCACTTTGCTGAAAGAGAGTCGGAATCTTAATTTGCAAAACAGCTCTCATTCCAACGGTTGAAATTGCCAGAAGAAAGCATTCTGTGAGTTTTCTTCCTTACTATCTTATTTGGTCCATTTACTTGATAATTCTTCAGCTTTGATGAAGCAACATATGAAGTATCTTCTGGATAACAAAGGCGGTAAAATGCCAAAGGTTTTGTTGAAAGGTCTCTTAACCTGTCCACCATTTTATGGTGCACATTTTTCTAGCCTATCTTACTTACCAAAAGAAGAATTTTCTTTAGCTCATTTGCTTTGGCTTTAGTTTACAATTTAAGCAACAAAAGATTGTTAACTTCTTTTTTATGAAGTGTTAAGTATTATTGGTTTAAAATCAGCATGATGTAGTTACATCCAAAAGCATCACAAGTGAAAACTGAAAAACTTCATAGAATCTTTTCTATAGGCATTCTGAGAAAAAAGAAAACTGAAAAAAGCTCTCAGAACGCCTGTAGAAAAGATTCTATGAACTATAGGAGTATTTCAGCATCGTTTACTCATTCTAATCTACAGCGAAAAGCTATCAACATAATACTAGTCTGTTCCCAGCTTAGGTAGGTTTCTGGACGAACTTAGTGTTTCTGTTGTAATTCATTTTAGATTCTGAATGATTATGTTTCTGTTGTAATTCATTTTAGATTCTGAATGATTATAGGAACGGTCGTACATGATGTTGAGTGAATAGAAGTATATTAACCAGAAGGACCTCATTTCATTACCACACTGAAAGATTAATTAAGTTCTCGTGAAGAGAAGACAACGAAAAATGGACATCCTGAAAATACCCTAAATCCCCCTAGACTATCATGTTCTTGTCAGTTTCCTACTTAAACTATTCCGGCGTACTACCCCACCCCCCCCCCCCCCCCCCCCGCCGCGAACTATATTGTCCTTCATATTAAAAATCCCTCATTGCATTCTTAGTGGTACGTGTAGTACACGCTCCTAATTATTTAAAAAACGTGTCATGTAGCACTACACATGGATATTCAACTCAGCCTAAAACCCGCCTAAACTATCACTTTTTTGTTGAACTTTTAGAGGTGCGTCTAACTATATTAACTTATGGTTTGTAAAAAGTTTTTTATATAGTTTACTCATGATGTATTGCTCTCGGATGATTGATTAATTTTAGGAGTTTTGGCCAAAATAATATTTAATGCATTGTGTTAATTTTAGGCTTAATTGTGATTGTGCTTTATGCTAAACTCCAATTGAATAAGTCCTTATTTATATTTACTTTGTAGCACAGTAAAAATATAAAGAATGGCATATAGTGTTGCATTTCTTAAAAATCATCTTATATTACATAAAAAGATTACACAAAATAAAATTTCGCAAATAAAAAATCAATTGGCCAACAATTACTTTGTCTAATTCCAGATTACATAAAGAAGGTTGAAGATATTCAACTTTATTCTCTACAAGGTGTTGAGCTTAATAAGAAGATTCAAATTGGTATTCTTTCAACAATATGTTCTTTCAACAATATGTGTAAGACACGAAAGAAGACTAAAATAAGAAAGAGAATAAATCAAGAGAGGGAGAAATTTTTCAGAGGAAACCCATAAAAGAACTGAAGAAAAAAGGTTAAAAAATGAAGAAGAAGGTGAAAAAATAAAGAAGAAAGGTTTAAAAAAATAGTAGAATGGTGAAAAAATGAGGAAGAAAGGCGGATTTAACTGAAATAAGGAGAATATTTATTAAAAAAATAAATGGGAAAGAGGGTTAGACTAATTAGCCATTATTTTCTGTCATATGAGCCATTTTGATGGTTTTTTTCAGTTGCCACGGGCTCCCTAGCGAGTGTTTACACACGCTATGCCACGTGAACGACGAAGGGGTTTTAATATGAAGAACAATATAGTTCAGGGGGTTTTGGGTACACCGAATAGTTTAAGTAGGAAACTGATAAAAATGTTATAGTTTAAGGGGGTTTTAAGGTATTAACTCAAAATTAAATGAATATGATGTTAGTCAAATCCTCTTGTGCTTAGTGTTTTGATCAAAGCAGTGCGTGAATTGATGTAGGCTCTAGAACTTGAAGAATGATGATCTTGATGCTTAAGCAGAACATCATACTAAAGAATATAAGATTACACAAATTTTGCCAGAAGATTTGACCAGATGAAGCGAGCTGAATTGGAATATCCAACATCTCAGTGAGTATAGACCTAATCCTCTCTGTGGTTCATATTTGCATGTTTTTCTGTTCAATATACACTAATTCAGTTTTCTTCATGTATCAGGAAGGAACAAGCAAATAGTGAAAAAATGGTTCTTTTCCAAATCACTAAAGAAGAGACTTCTGAGCTATCTTAGCAGTAACACTAGAATAGATTCTTGTTACTAGTGTATGGTCTTCTATTTTGCTCTTGGGCAATGAGGAAAGCTGTTTTGGTTTTTTTTTTTTGGTGGGGGTGGGGGGTGGGGGGAGGGTGGTGAGGGGGGTTGCTTTTTCTTATGTTGTTATATAAAAGTCATCTTGAAATTGCCCACATCCACTAAGGTGATTGAAAACCCAACATGAAATGGTAGTATTTTCTTGTTCTTTTTGGATATTGCCATAATGTTGCATGATTCTATATTTACGAGGACCATCGCCGTAGTTTGCAGCCGGCGCACATCCAAATTACCCTTGGGTCAAAGATTTGGGGAGAGAGTTAGTTCGGGCTAAACAATGAGCCACAATGATTTTCTATTTGCTTGTTTATTCTTATAATAATTTGTTTAGTTATCAAATTAACTAATATTTTTTTTATTATGTATTATGATAATATCAAATAAGAAAATAAAAAAAACTTATCGTTCTATATCTTATAATATTTTGAGGGTTCATTTAGACATAGATGCAATCCGAATTAGCCCAATTTTTATTGGACTAATTGAAATTATATGTGACCCGCCTATGAATATATGTCTACCGCAATTTGCTCAACTTTGGAGAGTTATATTTTTATGGGCTAAATTTGATACCACTAAAGTTGATCAATTTGCTCTGATACCAAGTATTACAAAAAAATTAAAGAGATTTTTACTCAACTAATTATTTATTTAAAATTATTTAAGAAAAAATTATCACTTCTTTCTTTTTTTTTTTTTTTGCTAAAACGGAAATATTATTAAAAGCTAAGAAAGACAGGTAGTAGAGTTTGTACATAAGGGGACTGTTCTTCTTAGACAAGTGTTTGAACAATCTTTATTGAAAGCAAGTAAAGCATAAGGCGGTGGTTCTTCGTAATGTAGTGGATGACAACAGTATTGGCTTGTACAAGGAGCTAAGGTCATGCCATGTTTTGCCCGGAGATCCGCTACATTGTTTGCTTCACGATATATATGCTTAAGTTCCGGTTGTCGCAACTGTGTCATCAATAACCTGCAATCCAAAATAAGAGGTAAGTAGAGATCAGTTATCGTGTCAAACATCGTTTGCAGTACATGGGAATCTGTTTCTATTTGTAGTGGACAGAAGTGAAAGTCCTGAGAAATTTGCAGTCCTATAAACAAGCATGGAGTTATAAACAAGCATGGAGTTCTGCTTCAAGTGGGGATGAGCAAATGAGGTGAGTAGTAAAACCTCGGATCCATTGACATTGATGATCTTGAAACACCCGCAGTTTTGGTGCTGGAGTTAAAGGCACCATCAATGTTTAATTTAAGTAAATGTGGCGTGGGAGGGTGCCATTTAATATACTGAGCAGTCGATATATGAGGTAAGGTAGGGGTGTTCGTAGATAGAGAAATTCTATCACATAGAACATAGTATCTTTTTATCGCGACAGGATCGTGTAAATTGTGGAAAAGGTTATGGTTATGAGTAGTCCATATGTGCCAGAGAATGAAAGGGACAAGTTGAGCTGTAGGAACTTCAATTTTATGGTAAATGAATGGAAGATGGGTGCGTGTACAATTCCCTTTAAGCCATTTAGAGAAAGATGTTGCATGCAAGTTAATAGGGAAGAAGTTCGATACAATATGAGAATTGATGCATTCAAAGAATAAGTGTTGGAGGGATTCGATTTTAGTAGGACAGGAATGACAAAGGCTGGGGACGCATATTAATAAGTGAAAGGTATGGAACAATAGGTAGTCTGTTAAAAAGTGGAAGCCAAAGAAAAATTTGAATTTTTTAGGTGGAATATGGAGGTAGCAAACCCATTGGATATTTGGTGGATTAGCAAGAAGGTTGTAACGGGTGTTAAGAAATAAGTGATACGCGGATTTAGCAGAAAAGAAACCTGAATTTTTGGAAACCAACAAAAGTCATCTGTACGTGATGAAGTGGGATTAAAGTAAGTATTATGGATGAGAAGTGAGATATCTGCAGGCAGTTCAAAGGAGAGGACACTACTATTCCAATTTTCATTACGAAGAAGGTGATCTAGTGTACAAAATTGCTCAGTATGAGTTAAAGGACCGTAAATAAGATTACGAAGAGGAGAATTATTTGGAAGCCAAATGTCATTCCAGACGTTAATGGTTGTGCCATTGCCGATGTGCCATAAATAACAATTTTTTTTTATATTTATGTCACGACCCAAAATCTGACATTGAGGATCATGATGACACCTAATCCCTAAGATTAGGTAAGACTAACACATGCTGAGCTATTATCAAATTTAAACCATTAAACATGAACCAATAAATGACATACATAGCTAAAAACGACCAATAGTTATATATTTTCCAAAATCGGTAGTACGGAGTCATAAGCTCATCTACGAGTAACTAAGAATAACAAATACATCACTCTTTGGAGTGAAAGTACACAGTAACAAAGCTCCAGAAGGCGACTTTGAGACTTGTGAGCGTAATGGCAGGTATACTGACACGCTCCGAGGTACCTGGATCTGTATAGAAATGTGCAGAAGCGTAGCTTGAGTACACCACAAGGGTACCCAGTAAGTATCAAGACTAACCTCAGTGAAGTAGTGACGAGGAACAAGTCAAGACACCTACTAGACATAATAACCCGTGCAAAGTATTAACATAAAGCTAACAACGGAATGAATATCAACATAGAGCTAACATGGAATGAATAACAATTTAAATCTAGCAATGGAAAGTAAAAGCAACAAATGGAAACAAGGAGTAACCAGGTGATAACCCAGCAAAATAATCATAATACAGTTAAGGTACCAGTGAAACCAATTAAGGAAAACAAGTGACAACAAAATATTCAAGCTGTTCTAATACCAGGTTTCCAACAAGAATCACCCTGAGTTACCATACCTTATAACCACAGATCACGAGTCCCAAATCGTGAGTCATATACACATGGCACCTCGTGCCCACGTTATTAATCGTAATCACACGGACAACTCACGTACTTCACGGATTACTCATGTGCCAATAACATCAATATCTCGGATCTGCACGGACAACTCACGTGCCAATAGTAAATGTCTCATATCTGCACGGACAACTCACGTGCCAACAGTGAAAATATCTCATATTCGCACGGACAACTAACGCGCCACCAGTTCAATCAATCCACAGAAGGCAGGTATGAGTACACGTACATGATCTATGGACATTAAGATCCATGCTCCTAGACTGATATAAGTGACATGTTACAATGTATGCTTGTGCAAGTATACTATGACAACTCAAGTCAACATGTAAAATCAGAGATACCGAGTAGCACATTAGAAAAAACACATCAAAACCCGTAATATGCATGACTAATAACTAGGGATTTTGATACATTTTATACTCCTCCTTGCTTATGTTTTGATTAGAAATTTGTACAAAATAGTCCCAAAAAGGCTAACAAGTTGTGCTTGATTGTAAGTTTGATCAACAAGGTGACAAGATGTCAAAGATCAGCTCAAAAGGAGTGAAACTTGCACAAGTATCAAGGCAAGACAAAGCTCAGACAAAACAAGGCCAGTGCGGCCGCACACCATTCTGTACGGTCCGCACAAGTGAGGTTCAGAAAGTATGCAACTCAGGCAAATCAGGCAATGCGGCCACATGGGATTTAACGCGGTCCGCACTGAAGTTACTGTGGCCGCACTCGATTTAGTGCGGTCCGCACAACCAAGAATCAGAGAGTTGCTATTTTCGGAGATTGAAGCCAATGCGGTCTGAGATTGTCTGGGTGACTTTTCATGCTACTTTAGCTGTATTAGTTTAATTAAATAGTATTTTTTTTAAAAGATTGGACTTTTCCCGACGATGGATCTATTAGACAATTTTCTTGAGGGATTTAAGTCTAAAAAAAAGATTTTCTTTGTAGGTAGTGTAATAATTCCCCCTTGATTTTTCTTTGTGTCGCGTTTCTTTTCCAAGGGTTTTATTTGAACCGGGTGTAGTTAGTTTTTTTGGGAGTAGGAGCCATTGTGTTGTGTTTTGAGAATAGTGAGTACTTTGGCTGTGACGCTTAGGCTCAGTTTTTGACTCTTGTATAAGTACCTTAAATTGTATGATCTTAACTTTGCTTAACTGCTTTGACTAGAGTGTCTTGATGAAACCAATCCTGAGTGAGTTATGTGCCATGTGTGTATAAGGATTTGTTATATTCTGTGCATTGCATTTGATGCCTAGAACTTGCCCCGTGTGTTTGCAAAGCGAAATAGTAGTTTTATTCAGTCTAGGAAGTGATATAGGCATTTCTTTGTTGAGCCAGATATGTATATTTTACCCGCCTAATTATTATGCATCGTAGTTAACCCCTTTGAGCCTGTAATCCTGTTTCTTTGGCAACCACATTACAAGCCTTACCCATTTGTTTGAATTAAACATCTATTTGAACCATTGTAACCTCTCATGAGCACTTGAATTGTTTATGAACTTTGTAAAGGTTAAAGTGTGGGGTGGTTGGTTTGGCTTTTGAGTGGAACTAATTAAATAAGGAGAAAGGTGCACTGTTTTGAAAAAGTAAGAGCCACTTGAATTGAAAAAAGAAAAAGAAAAAAATAGTTCGATTGTTGTGAAAAAAAAAATATTCCTTGATAAGTGGTGCCTTTTGATGTAAGTGTGCTTAAAAAAGAATGGGGTAATATACATTGATGTGAAGGTGGAGTTTTGGTTTGACATAAGTATGGGGTTTGAATGTTAAAGTATATGTGTTAAAGTGCTTAGGGAGGTGTAGTCACTCTTATATCTAAATGTATCATACCCGTCCCGTAGCCTACATTACAACCAAATAAAGTCCTAATTGATCCTAGATTGAATGAGCTCGATTAGTGGAGTAGTACACTACGGGCAAGCCTATGGTGCATCTTTTGTGGCATATGAATGTTATTTCTGAGAGTGAGTGAATTCTTTCTATCTTGAGTTCCTAAGTGTTACTTAAATTTTATTGTGTGGAACTACTCTCTTTTGTTGTGTGAGGGCACTTGATTCATGAAGGAAAGGTAATGTTAGTGACCTCTATGTTAGAGTAAGTGGGTGAGTTGTGAATAATGCGT